GAAATTGAATTAACTAAAAAATGCCCAAGTAATCGGATTGTGGAACGTTAATGAGAAAATCAGAACTATTAAACTAGATTAACAGCTTTTTGTTTGTTTTTTTTTTCTTTTATAATTCAAGGGCTTTGGGAGTAAAAAAGCTTCTCAGATCTTCGTAGGCTTAGGGCTTCGAGATGCCACTCTGTTGGTAGAAGTCTTGCCTGGCGTGCCCAAGATTCAGTGTCCAGTCCCAGCACCACACACACACACACACACACACACACACACACACTCACCTCTTGCCTAGCCTCTTTGATTTGCTGGACTGCCTGCTGATATGACTAAACGTGTCCACGCTGTAACTGTGGAGGGAAATGCCCTCACTTCTTTGGAGCCACGGCCTCCGGCTGAGATGCCATAAGGCCACCCTCACAGTCTACACTTTTTCCACATGTCACAGCTGCCCCAAACCAATATAATTATCAGTATTCAGCCCCCATAAACGTTAAGACATAGCATGGGGAGGGCACGGGAGGAGGGGAGGGAAAGGGAGAGGGACCTGGAACTGACTTGTAAAGCAACCTTGTTTCTAATCTAAAAATTTTTTTTTTGAGACAGGGTTTCTCTGTGGCTTTGGAGGCTGCCCTGGAACTAGCTCTTGTAGACCAGGCTGGCCTCAAACTCACAGAGATCCGCCTGCCTCTGCCTCTCGAGTGCTGGGATTAAAGGCGTGCGCCACCAATGCCCGGCTCTAATCTAAATTTAAACTGAAAAATAAATTAGAAAAAAAAGATATAGCATCACAAAAGAGCCAGTTTTGATGTATGTGAACAAAAATCTTAAGCTTCTATGGTTGTCTGCACAAACATGAACACGCTGTCAGCACCCCAGTGCCAGCTCACCACGGAGCAGAGGCAGGGCCACCAGGGACCCCAGGACAGCCAGCCCCCAGCAAGAGGAGCTCAGCAACCAAGACGAGATGCCGAGGAACCGTCAGCCTGAAAAAAGCGTTCATCACCGCAGAGAAGATGGAGGAGAACCAGGACTGCAGTGTGAAGTCTGGTTTCCTTCCTAGCGATTCAGTTGTCTGAAATGGTTAGGAGACCAAAACAAGGACGGGTGGTGACCTAGAGGCTCTTGGAACTGGAACCATCCGTGGCTCTCAAACTGTGGGCCACCACCCCTTTGGGGTAGATGACCCTCCCACAGGGGTCACCTAAGACATCAGAGAGCACAGGTTCTTGCATTAGGATTCTCAACAGCAGCGATGAAATGTCAATGAAGATAATTTTACAGTTGGGGGGTCACCACAACACGAGGTCACAGCACTGGGAAGGTTGGGTACCGCTGTGCTAGAGTTTGTGACTCTGACAGTTACTGAGGAGTTGCTGGTCCTCAAGGCTTTACTGCCACACCTAGAGTGGAGTTTAAATCAGCTAAAACTGAAAATGAAATGTAGATCTTAATTAACACGAAGTCTTATGCCCCACTGCTATTAACATATTTATTAATATAGTTATGCCAATTTGTAAGATTAATATGAAACACACATTCCCCTTTCCATGGATCCATGATCCCGTGGCATAGTATTGTCAAGCTTGGCTACTTTTTAAAAATGACTTGCAGAATTTAATAAAATCAGATTGGCCTGTAAGCAAGCCTCCCGGGTGCCCCTATCCTAATTGATGAGGGAGGACCTGGCTAACCATTTACGGTGCAACCCCAGGCTGGTGGCCCTGGGTTCTATCAGAACGCTGGCCGAGCAAGCCAGTAAGCATCTTCTCTCCACGGGCTCTGCATCAGCTCCTGCTCCGAATTCCTGCCCTGACTTCCTTCATAATGGACTCCAAGATGTAAGATGAAATAAACCCTCTTCTCCCAAGTCTTCGTTACATCAATAAAAGCCAAACCCCGACAGTTGCTAACCTTAACGGCTTCTCCGTCAGTGTCCTCGTTGCTGTGCTTCACAGACCTCTGCTGACCAGAACTCGGAGCCATGTTGCTAAAAGTTGTGCATTTACTGAACCCTTGGGTCCATCTGGTTTCAATCACTTGGGGGTCTTAGCAGACTAAACCCTGTGTTGATTAGTGGAGATGTCTAATAAGCTCCTTGATGTGAATCTTGAACTATTTATAATTCTCTTCGGACACTGCAGTTACTTGAAGTTACCAAAAGCAAATCCGTTTTCCAAAATAGGTTTAACTGCACCATAGTGTTTTGTGTAGAGAACTTCTTCAGCTTTAGTCATCGTCTTCTCTTCCTTCCCCTCCCCCTCCTCCTGCTAGAGTACAGCACACGTGCCTGTGAGTATAGACGGGAGGTCAATCGTGGGTGCTGTTCCTCAGAAATCTACCCCCGCTGGTTTTTGCTTTATCCTTCTGATGGGGAAGTCCTGTGTGTATGTCAATAAAGCACTGTCAGCCAATAGGGAAGCAAGATAGGTGGGACTAGGAGTCCAGGAGGATTCTGGGAAGGAGAAACACAGGGAGTCATCATGTAGCTGTCATAGGGGTAAGAAGTCCGGACCCTTTTCTCCGGTAAGAGAAATACTTAGATTAACAATTATGGAGTAAATACTTAAGTCAGAGCTAGCCAGTAAGAAACAAGCAAACGGCCAACAGCTTCATAATTAATACAGCTTTTTGTGTGTTATTTGGGGACTACACCTCGGCAGAGCCCAGGCGACTGGTGGGGAAAAACCAAAGCGGCTGGCAAGGAAAAGGCTTCACTCAACATCCTCCTTTGCAGCCGGGCGTTGGTGGCGCACACCTTTTATCCCAGCACTCGGGAGGCAGAGGCAGGCGGATGTCTGTGAGTTCGAGGCCAGGCTGGACTGACAGCCTCCAAAACAGAGAAACCCTGTCTCGTAAAAACCAAAAAAAAATCCTCCTTTGCTCCTCCTCCTTCTGTGCCCTCCTCCCCTCCCCCCGCCTCTTACCCACTCTCGCCCCTCCCCCACAGGGTCTCTCACTGAGGTCTGGGCTGATGAGGCTGGCTGACCTGAGAGCCCCGGGGATCCATTCTCCTGTCTCTGCCTCCCCAGAACTGGTGTTACAAGGGCACACCACCACACCCAGCTTCCTCTGTGAGCACTAGGGGTTGAAGTCAAGTGCGAATGCCTATACAGCGTCTGAGTTAGGGTGTCTGTTGCCGTGACAAAACACCATGACCAAAGAAACAAGTTGGGAAGGGTTTATTTGGCTTACACTTCCGTATCTCTGTTCATCACTGAAGGAAGTCAGGACAGGAACTCAAATGGCAGGAACCTGGAGGCAGGAGCCGATGCAGACGCCATGAAGGGGTGCTGCTGACTGGCTTGCTCCCCATGGCTTGCTCAGCCTGCTTTTTTATCGAACCCAGGACCAGGAGCCCAAGTATGGCACCACCCACATGGGCCGGGTCCTCTCCAGTGATCACTAAATGAGAAAATGCCCTACAGCTGAATCTCATGGAGCCATTTCCTCAGCTGAGGCTCCTTCCTGATGACTGTGTGTCAGGTTGACGCACAAAACCAGCCAGTGCACACAGCAAGCCCTTTACCAAATGAGCGTTTCAACAGCCACTACTTCACTAATTTTTAAAAATTAGCTAGTGCTTCATAAAAAGAAAATTATCAGCCATATGGAAACAATAGCATTGTGTCATGTTTCAGCTTTCGTGTTAGATTTGCAAAATTGGAATATAATTATGAATAACAAAGTAACCACAGTCCTGTGCAGCCGAGTGTGGCATGATGGGCTCCTGACACAATGGAAACAATGACTAATAAAATAAGGTGCTTTATGATTGGGAGAGTGTTCTCGGCAGTGGTTACTCATTTTGCCAGTTTCAAAAGTGTCTATGTTGGTGGATGAGACAGTTACCGAAAAAAAAAAACTTATGCAGAATACATGAGCTGATGGAAGTGACTTATGTTCAAAATCAAGCAGGACCCAGATCCTGAAGTGAATCTCATGTTTACAGATAAGAAATTGAGTATTATGCTTAGTTTGTCACTTTAATTGATTAGCAAAGAATTTCACATCCTTAATGATTTATTTTTTAACCCAAGGCTGCTGCTGCTGCTGCTTCTTCTTCTTCTTCTTCTTCTTCTTCTTCTTCTTCTTCTTCTTCTTCTTCTTCTTCTTCTTCTTCTTCTCCTTCTCCTTCTCCTTCTCCTTCTCCTTCTCCTTCTCCTCCTCCTCCTCCTCCTCCTCCTCCTCCTCCTTCTCCTCTTCTTCCTCTCCTCCTCCTCCTCCTCCTCCTCCTCTTTTCCTCCTTCTCCTCCTCCTCTTCCTTCGTGTGTTTGTTTGTGTGTGTGTGTGTGTGTGTGTGTGTGTGTGCACGCGCCCACGGGCGTACCAAGGTACACATGTGGAAGTCAGTGGACAACTATGGGGTCTGATCTCCTACCTTTGCAAGGGTTATGAGGATTGAATCCAGGTTTTCTCTTTGTTTGTTTGTTCCTTTTTTAAATTTAAATTAGAAACAAGCTTGCTTCACATGTAAATCCCAGCTCCCTCCCCTCCCCCAGGCCCCCCACCCAATCCCCAGGTTATCAGGTTTCCATGGCAACAGCTTTTACCCGTTCAGCCATCTTGCAGACCTTCTTCTGCCTCTGTTCTTATGAAGTGCGTGTTTTAAAAGGCAGTTTTTAATCTGTTGCGATGTCATTCACATGTGCAACATTCATCACGTCCCATTTGCTAGCTAGCTTCGGTGGCAAGGACTTCTGAGAGGACAGTTCACCCTGCTTTCTGTTTTGTTTTTGTCGGGGATGGTGGCGGCTGAGGCGAGGCTGAGTTGTCCAGGTTACTTTGAACTTACTACCTAGCCGAGGCGGGCTTTGAACTCTCAATTCTGTGCCTCCCGAGTGCTCGGCTCATGTTGTAGTCCACTTTCCTGCCCTTCCCGGAGATTGTGCCAGGTTTACAGTGAGGGTTCAACGTGTAAGCTACTTAAAAAGTCTCAAATATTTAAGTCATCATAATACAGGCATGCTCCGAAACATGGCCGTAATATGTTTTTATGTTTTCTGCAGGAAAATTTTTTGGCAACAGACAACTTCCTTGTGGACTACTTTAATGAGTTCTTAAGCCTCCCTGTGAGTACATTATGATGTTCTATTGAGTATATTACTATAGCAAGGTATTTTAAAATTATTGGTTGTGTGAGTGTATTGTGTGTGAGTGTATGTGTGTGTGTATATGTGTGAGTATCTGTGTTTGCATATGTGAACGTGTGTGCATGCATGTGCAAGTGCTAGAGAGCATATACGAGTGTGTGTGTGCATGTGTGTGAGTGTGTGTGCGCTGGAGAGTATATGTGAGTGTGTGTGTGTGTGCTGGAGAGCATATAAGTGTGTGTGCATGTGTGTGTGTGTTCTGGAGAGTATATGTGAGTGTGTGTATGTGCATGTATGTGGATGTGTGAGTACGAGTGTTCGTATATGTGAGCATGTGTGTTTGTGTGAGTGCCAGAAAGAATATATAAGTGTGTGCATCTGTGTGCTGGAAAGCGTATGTGTGTGTGAGTACACACACACACACACACACACACACACGTCAACCCTTATTGGATCTCCCACAGCAGCTTACTTGGGCTCCATCTCACTTCTACCTTTCCTCTCCCAACCGTGTTTGTTTCTTCAGCTCTGTTTGCCTGTCTTGTATCCCTTAGTCAACCCTGCCAATTACCGGTTCTTCACACGACAGAAGGAAGAGGCGGTCACAGACTTCCAGAAAGGGACTGAGGGCAGGAAGGAGAAGAAAGAGGGATTCTCAGAGCAAGGGCCTGGCAGAGTTGTAGACCAGACTAGCAATTAGTGATGTTTAGTTCCTGAGCACTTGGATAAGAATTAGAAGCCAGCCTGGGTTTACCGAGAGAGACTGGGCCAAACTGAGCTCTGCCCGTTTGGATCAGGCACTGGCATTTCAGGCACCTGCAAACACAGCGTATCGTGACTTTAGCACAGCACTATAAAAACAATAAGTAGAGTCACGTTTCTTCCTAACCTGCTTTAAACCACGCCCGTGGCAAGATTCGGCCTTCCCATTTCCTCATCTTTGTTTCCTCCCCTTCCGTGTCCTAATCCCTCTCCAGCTTAACTGACCTTCTTTGTGTTTCTAAGAACAGAATGTGCCAAGTGTGGTGGACAGTTTGTTAACACACCCTAAAGTCGTCTGAGAGGAGGGAACCTCAATTAAGAAAATGGTCCCATAAGGTCTGGCAGCAGGCAAACCTGTAGGGCATTTTCTTAGCAATGTGGAGGGCCTAGGCCATTGTGGGTGGTGCCATCCCCTAGGCTGGTGGTCCTGGGTTCTGTAAGAAAGCAGACTGAGCAAGCCATGGGAAGCAAGTCAGTAAGCAGCGACCCTCCACGGCCTGGCATTAGCTCCTGTCCCTAGGTTCCTGCCCTGTGTGAGTTCCTGCCTTGGCTTTCCTCAGTGGAATGTTGTTAGTATCCAGGCATCTGTACTGGCCTGCCCGTGGGGTCCTGACAGGACACGCCCTCAGCTGCTGCCACTAAAAGCCCCACCTATGCATATTCACTATGCTCCCTTTTAAAAGGGCCCTGATGGCCGGGCATTGGTGGGGCACGCCTTTAATCCCAGCACTCAGGAGGCAGAGGCAGGCGGATCTCTGTAAGTTCGAGACCAGCCTGGACTACCAAGCGAGTTCCAGGACAGGCTCCAAAGCCACAGAGAAACCCTGTCTCGAAAAAACCAAAAGAAATAAAAAAATTAAAAAAATAAAAAAATAAAAGGGCCCTGACCTCCTTCCATCCTCCTCCCTCCTCTCCCTCCCTCCCTCCCTCCCTCCCTCCCTCCCTCCCTCCCTCCCTCCCTCCCTCCCTCCCTCCCTCCCTCCTCTCCCTCCCTCCCTCCCTCCCTCCCTCCCTCTCTCTCTCTCTCTCCCTCTCCCTCTCCCTCTCTCCTTCTTTCCTTCTCTCTGTCTGCCTGTTCCTGTCTCTCTCTGCCCCTCTTCCCTCTCTCCTACTGCTTCTGTCCCCAGAGACTGGTCCCCCCCCCCACGCCTCTGCTCAAACCCTGACACATGGCATCTTTCTCTTGCGAGCCGCTTTTCTTCAACTACAACGACTGTGATTCAGGATGGGAGACCCAAATCAGCCCCTTCCTCCCCAAGTTGGTTTGGTCCTGGTGCTTCATCGCAGCAAGAGGAACCCTGGGCAGGACACCAAGTGCTCCAGCTCGGAGCACTCATTCTCTGAGACATTTGCGTCACGTTCTCCTTGATTCCACTACTTCTGCTACCCTCCTACCGACTCCATCTGCGACGACATCCCTAGGACACCCTGCTGATATGTTTTATTTGCATCCAAACCCTCATCATTGTCTGTGAAGTTAATTTTCATACGTTTGAACCGATTCACTGATTATAACCTGTAGGCTGATTCTCAATAGCCATCAGGCTGAAGGGAACATTCCTTTGGTGTGGATTTCAAGACTTTGGCGCAGTGTGGCCTCAGCTTAACCTTCCTACCCAGACTCCCTTCACGGTGCTTGTGTCCTGTTGCCGTCTGTGCCATTTAACCCACCAAGCCACGTGGACGCCACTGAGGAGCTCTCCGCAGCTCCCCCTGCAGTCAGGAAGGGTGTGAAGGAGCTGCTGTTATTTGTGGCCCCTCCATCCCTTACCCCTGGACTGTTGGAAATGCCACACACTTAACCTTTGCATTTCTTTCTCTAAACAGCATCTTAACAAGTTCACCACGGAGCAATGTAGTGTGTGTGTGTGTGTGTGATACATATTAGAGTTTATTTTCCCTTTAACCCTCAGGGACTCACCTTTCACCCCTGAACTACAGGAAGCAATCCGTTCGGTTGGCTTGGTGGATCCATGTCAGCCTGGAGCACTCTCTCATATCACACAGATCTGTAATTGGTTTTGCCTTTCAGAAATTATTTTTATTAGAGACTTGGATGCAACATTATAACCAATATTTTTCCAGTTTAAGATCACTCGGCTAGTAAATGGCATGGCCTACCCAAGGCCACATGGTCCAGAAAGCTTCGAGTGTCCAGCTGTAGAACTTGGGACAGAACGTATAAACAGATGGTGTGGATAACAGGCTGAGGCCTCATGCTTATTCTGATACACAAATGAAGTAAAACAAACAAAGCTAATGTGTTCTTAGGCTACATTAGCTGAAGTGTAGTTCAGATCAAGAACAATATTAGTCTGGAGCATAGAAGGCACTGGGCGTTTTTTTTTTTTTTTGGGAAAGGCGGAATTGTTAGACCACATTTGGAATATTGTGTTGCGATCTTGGTCCCATATGTTAAGAGTTGCTTTTGCCAAGCCAGTCTCAGGGAGACTCAGCCCGTGAACATGCAGGAAACCATGTCAGATGAGAAACGGTTGAAAGATGTGTGTTTAACCAGGCTAGGCGGCGGGGCCAGAATGGGGCAACCCTTTCAAACATCCAGAGATGGAATCAAGGGAAACGGGTTCACATTCTGTGAACCCAGAGGCCGGGCAGCACCCCACTTATGAGAACCTAGTTTTCAAACGAAAAGATGGCCAACTTGGGAGGTCTTAAACCTTCTTGTATGTGGAGGTATTCAGGTGGAGGCCGGAAAATGTGACTATTGCATTAGAAGAGAGGAGGGAGGGGATGAAGTGGGGAGAGAGATTTTTTTTCTGTAAAATTTTCCCTTGAGATTTCTATGACAGATAATAGAAAATCATAATATTGTTGAATGTGGGATGAGTTTTGGCTCACATTCTTATTGTATAGAAAAAGAGTATTTGTCATCAGCCGGGCGGTGGTGGCGCACGCCTTTAATCCCAACACTCGGGAGGCAGAGGCAGGTAGATCTCTGTAAGTTCGAGGCCAGGCTGGACCGACAGCCTCCAAAACAATACAGAGAAATCCTGTCTCGTATAAAAAAAAAGAGTATTTGTCATCTATGTATGTATCTATGTATCCATTTTCTATATGACTATGTATCTATGTATCTATCTATGTATCTATCTATGTATCTATCTATGTATCTATCTATGTATCTATCTATGTATCTATCTATGTATCTATCTATGTATCTATCTATCTATCTATCTATCTATCTCAATTTGTCATCTGTTGCCTACTATGGTGGAAGGCCAGAGTTACCCAAATGAGAACAGGTGAATTCCTTATTTCAGCTTACAATCCACACCGTAAATCGGCAAGCTGGGCCTCTCCTGGTGCTCCCCACACTCCTCAAGGATCATCCCTCTTTTATTTCTACATCTTCCATGTCAAACCTTTGAAATAGAGAATCCTTCTAGTCTATTCTCTTGCTCCCCTTCCTCTCCTACCCCCTCATCATGTTATACACGACCACAAGGTAAGCCCGAGAATATAGCTATCACTGTCTCCCAGGGGTCGTAGGCAGATCTAGACCTCCAGTCCTTCTGAGGTCCTACCCCACCCTTGCATGGTCAAAGCCCAAGGCAAAGATGGGCCTGTGAGCCGGGCCAGCCGCTGGCTCCTCTCACACTCCCTTCCTTTACAGCACCACGCTCTCGGGACCCGCTGTGGGATCCAGAACCCCGTGGCTGGTAGCCTGCCCCCACCCGCTGCTTTTGATGGGGGAAATCCAGGACAGTTGCCTCTGTTATAAATGATCATGCGGCACTTTCCAAATCTCAGCTCTCATAAGTTCGCTCCGTTTGTTCTCCGGCCAAGTTCACTTTCAGATATTGTTTTCATTTGGTGTCTGGGAGGGTCTTTTTCTCCCCCTGTCAACTCTTTACAGACAAGTGTTTGCTCATTAGCTTGTCTTCTGTGCTGTTGTGTGAAAACATTCCTCCCTTTGGTTTTGTTTTGTGTGTTTTATGCGCAGTGACTGTTGTGGGATTGAGTCGATGAGCCCACATAGATTTAGGTTGGTCCTCTGTGGGTGGTTTCAAATGTTTGTGACATTTATGGTTTGCAGAAGCTGAAGGGGTGGCCTGTTCTATACCCTCCTTGCAAGGATAGGTATGTCATATGTTTGCCAGACCATGCTTAGCTATGCACTTTTGGAATTTTACCATAACTTTTTTTTGGCCCGATTCTCTACACTTTTTTTAATCTGTAAACTATTATAATTTCTT